ATATATATCCCAGGGGACATTTTTTCTACTTGGGAACTGTTTAAATGTGTAATTTGTGGTAGATTTTATTTTGTTGAACTATTAATATTGTATACAGAATCTGAATCTGAGTTAGTTGTTGTTCACAAACTGAAGAAATTAGATCATTTTAGTTCAGTTTTTACTGAATATTTGAAGGCAAACTGAAACTATATCACTAATTTTGCTGCAGTTCTATTCTTATATTAATGATTAGATTTTTTTTTTTTTTACTTTTTTTTTTTTAACTAATTTTTCATATCGTCAAGAATATCGTTATCACAAAAATACCCTGAATTATTGGGATATTATTTTAGGGCCATATTGCCCATCCCTATTCGGTACTTGTGCCTGTAAGATGTGACGGTTGTTTTGTTTTGTTTTTTTGTAGTAGGCTATTTGTCTCCCCTCCTCCACTGTGTTTGGACAACTGGGTAAAATGTGGCAGAGACAGTGACAAGTGCAACGTTTTATCCAAGATTGAACATTTTTAAACTCTCAGTGACCAGGAAAAAAAAAGCCAAAAGTGCAGCGCTCAGCTCCTCGTCACACTGCTGGTATTTGTAGCACAGTAAAAATATGTGGCACCTCTGTTGCAAAGAGTTAAAAAATTGGCTGTCTTCCACTTGTTCTTCTTCCATCCTGGAAAGCGTTCTTCCTTTGGCATTTAACAGCAGACTAGAACACAAGTAGGTGTTCTTTAGTACCTGGTACTGAACTTTTGAAGAAAACTTTCTTTCTTTCTCTCGTGCCTCCATGTTCAACGAAGAATCCCAAAACAGAGAAATTTCATGATGAATTGGAACAAAAGGGTGCCGCGTTAAACAACAGCAAAACTATATCAAAACATCTGTTTAGAAACTCACATAACTTGTGTTGTATAATCCAAGTCTCATTTATCCAGTTGGAAGATCAGTACTTTCCAAACTCCAAACATTTTTGCAAAAACTTTACTGTTTAAAACACTTGCACGTACAAGTAGCGTGCCCACACAGGTGCATGCATTTAAGCTTGTGCATTCCACTGAACAGAGTTAAAACCCACTCGCTTGCCCAGGCGCACAAGACGTCATGCCAAAATGTTTTGGAATGTAAGGTTTTAGTGAAAATGCATGTCTTTGGAAAGTACTGAGCATATGACTGGATAAATGAGACTTGGATTATACCGCACAATTTGTGTGGGAGTTCATATACAGATGTTTTAATATAGTTTTGCTGTTGTTAAACGCAGTCCCCCCTTTACTTTAATTCTTCAAGAATTTTCTCTGTAAGTGGATTCTTTGTGCAACATGGAGGCATGCGAGAAGAACATTTTTCTTTATGAATTCACCTTAACACAGGGTGTTAATATTCCTTTAAAAACAATAAAAGAATAAATTGCTTGCTCCTGTTATACTGTTCTTATTTTATAAATTCCAACTTATATTATGAACAACTAACTTATGTGGCTGTTGTTTATCTGTCCGTCATCCAGAGAACAAACACCTGCTGCCAGCGGACAGGAAGCCAGGTGAGGAGCCAGAGAGCCTCGTGGGTAAACAGGTGGAGTACGTCACAGATAATGGCCTGAAGAGGACGGGCTTGGTCATTTATCAGGTCCCGGCTAAGCCCACGGTATACTACATCAAATATGACGATGACGTCCACATCCACGTCTATGATCTGGTGAAGACCACCTAGTACTGACTGTTTGGTCTCATCTTCAGCTGACGGCTCATCTCTGACCCGACCAGTCGTTACCTGTGAAAGTGTTAGGGATTTCAGTTTTCCTCCAGCAGGAGGTGATGTGCCGAAGATCAAAAGCCCTGTCTTTTTTTTTTGTTTGTTTGAATTTTTTGGGCCTCTTGGCTTCTTTCATTCTCACCTCATGAGACATCTTGGTTTTTGATTCTTAATTTTTCAGTTGACCTTAATGTATGACTATTGGGTCCTCTTCTGTGTACATAAAGCAGGTCTGAGACCATGTGTATAGCCCAGCAGATGAAATGGAGCTAGACATTTGTTTCGGTCGAATCACAATTGTATAGTGCAACTTTCAAACTCCAAATTCATACTTTTTGTAAGCAACACATCAAACTGACACTAATTCAGCTTTCTTACCTATACCTCTGTGTTTTACTTGTATTTCATTTCACTTTTATATGCCTGTGCTATTTATTTCATCTGGAATATCTGGCTGTGTTGCTGGTAACATTTTGGCAAAACTTGTCTTCTGTGTTTTATATGTGTCTGTTGAATATAGAAGTGATATTCATTTGACCAGTGTTCTCATTTTACCATCACAGTGAACCACCATTTCAGTTGAAGTGTTTAGGCATCGACGAGATCTGACCGTCTCACATCATGGGTATAAATCACAGATCATTCTTTTAAAAAAAAAATAGAAGTCATGTATCATATTTCTGTTTCAAAATGTAAACTGCAAGTTTTCTACATTATGATAATATATGAAAATTTCTGATGTTGATGTCAAGTTTTTTCAGCGGTGTTTGTGCTACACACTATTTATGTAGTTCAAAATTGGCTACCAACATTGTTTAGTATTTTGGGATGAAGTCTTTATTATTTGCTAAAAAAAAATGAATGATGTGATATGACATATTCAGGCCTCAAAATATTGTTCATTGTGACCCTACATATGTTTTGTTCTGTAAATATAATCGGAGACATTTTTATGAACGTAAAACAAAGCTGCTTGAAAATTATTTTCTTGGTGTTGCGGTTGATATTTGGGTCGTTTGTGTGAATTTATATATTTTTCCACCGTGGTTGTTCAGTCTGAGATGATCCCATAGTGCCTACTTACTTCATGGCATTCTGCACTTTCAGATATAATTCATAATCCAAGGCTCTGCTCGTACGACCTTCAGTATTCTTATCTGTGTATTGTATCTACTGTATATATTAGTGATATAGTGGCACAATTGAATAGAATGTGAATAATAGAATTAAATGTAAGCCCTATGTGCATATTGGCCATGTAACTGAATGTAAAACTCCCCTCTTCATACAATTATTTGAGCGGAGAGACGTGTGTCCTCGAACTCTCTGAATACAGTGAACACTTGAGAACAATGAATGGATACTCTACGCACGTTTCGTCAGGAGCGTTGCTTGAATTCAGAGCTATTTTATCCAAAGCACCCATCTTCATCTTTCACATGCAACAGTCAGATAGATTAACACATATTTAAAGAGACAGTTCACCCCCAGTTCAAATATACATATTTTTCCTCTTACCTGTAGTGATATTTATCCGTCCAGATTGTTTTGCTGTGAGCTGCAGATTGTTGTAGATATCGGCCGTAGAGATGTCTGCCTTCTCTCCAGTATAATGGAACTAGATGGTACTCAAAGTGCGAAAATATACATGTGAAAAACTCAACAGCAATGTCTCTACAGAAATCATGATGTTGTTCCTCAAGATAATCCACAGACCTTGTTGTGAGCAGTTTCATGTAGGAACTATTTTCTCTTTACCAAACTACACCTGCCATCTGTATTGAAGGAAGGAAGAGTGCATCTACTCATGGATGAAAGGCTCGTACTCATGACAGCACAAGATATAACCATTAATGGTGCCCCCCTCAGCTGAGCTGTAATCTTAGCTAGCTCAGAGGTGCAAGGTGAGCTTAGCTTTGAGCACCACAAGCCAAATGCCATCTAGTTCCATTATATTGGAGAGAATGCAGGCCAAACCACACCTGCCAACAGCAGAAATCGCCATCAACTCATGGACGAGAGACTTGTGGTCATGACAGTGCTAGTGTAAACATTACTGGCTTCCTGTGGATGCATGCTTCATTCTGTGGAATGATACAGTTGGTGGTTGTAGTTTGGTAGAAAGAAAATAGTTCCTACATGAAACTGCTCACAACAAGGTCTGTGGATTATCTTGAGGAACTGGGTCATGATTTCTGGAAAGAGACACTGCTGTTGAGTTTTTTAAAATGTATTTTTTGGCGCTTTGAGCACCACAAGCCAAGTGCCATCTAGTTCCATTATACTGGAGAGAAGGTAGACATCTTTACGGTCGATATCTCCAATATTCAGCAGCTCACACCAAAAAAACCTAGACTGATAAACAGCACTACAGGTAAGAGGAAACATTTTGATTTCGGGCTGAGCCTTCCCTTTAAGTCAACTTATATTATAAACAATAAAAACATCACAGTACAAAAATCTCAAAGCACAATATGAGGCATATTTTACAGCCTACTTTTGTTGTTGCCAGAAAAATCTCACTGGCATAAATCAGATTACTCCTGAAGCTTAGTTGTGTCTGTTTCTGAGTGTAAAAAGCACCTTCATCTGCTGAGGAATAGTTCAATCAACCTTCCCTCAAGACACATGCCAGGCTCCAGCATGCAGTGCAGCTTAATGTTTGCACCTACAGAATAAGAAAAGACACTGGACAAGAGCTTGTTTATTGTATGAGAGGTTTGTTATTTCTTTTCATGCTGGTGGCCTGGTTGTGGTGGATGGATTACTTTGACCACGTCAGAAACTTACTCAGAAGGTCTTATTTAGCTTACTAAATTTCCAGTTTCTGAATTTTACACTTTAGCATTTGGGAAAATCTGTTAAATTTGTTTTTAGGGGCTCAGCAACAATATAACCAAGATAATATTATTCAAACACAGACAATGACACACGAAACAAAAAGCCTAACAGAAGGAAAACACAGTTTATTAGTGATATGTGCCATGCTTTTTAAGTTTGGGATGAAAGTTTGACTCAACACTTCCCCTCTTGTTCTGGTACTTCACTTTTTTTGCAGCCTATTTTAATGAGATGTCTGATTAGCTTCTGTATTTAAAGGCCAATGAAATCAGGGGAGCAGAAACTATTAACTTACACAGCTGATAATTTAGTGTCAGAATCATCTAAATGTCTGTTTAGTTACACAGCAGCAGACACACTATATAAGCTAAACATGGTCATAATCAGTACTGATTACTTCATAATTCTTGCTCCTGCCCCATATTTATTTATTCATACAGTTTAAAGTTACAGTGATAGTGCACATTAATAGACATTTCTGTACATGTTTTAGTTTAGCCATCTTGGCTAATTTCCACCTGCAGCACCTGGGCAGGTGTAATGACAGTTATGAAATGCATTAAAACAGAAACAGCATGGACGGATTAAGAGACATTGAACTCCTGGGCACAGATATGCAAAAGGCCCCACCACCTTTCCTACATAGCTGCAAGACAGACAGGTTTTGTGTCTCTTTGTATTCGTTTTGTGGCTTTTTGAGGTCATTTTGTCTCTCTTCAAAGTAATTTTGTGTCTATTTGGGGAGTTTTGTGTTTCTTTTAGGTAATTTTGTTACTTTTGTGGTTGTTGAGTCTGTCTTTGCAGTCATTTTATGTCTCCTTGTGGTTGTTTTGTGTCAATTTAAGGCAGTTTTGTGTTTCTTTTAGGGAATTTTGTGACTTTTTGGTTGTTCAGTGTGTCCTGGTAGTCATTTTATTTGCCCTTGTGGGTGTTTTGTGTCTCTATGTAATCATTTTATGTCTCCTTGTGGTTGTGCTTGACCTTGTGGGTGTTTTGTGTTATTCATTCCTTCATTCATTTTCTGGGTCGTGGGGGGGCTGGAGCCTATCCCAGCTGACACTGGGCAACAGGTGGGGTACACCCTGGACAGGTCACCAGTCTATCACAGGGCTGACACATAGAGACAGACAATCATTCACACTCACATTCACACCTATGGACAGTTTAGAGTCACCAATTAACCTGCATGTGTTTGGACTGTGGGAGGAAGCCGGAGTACCTGGAGGAAACTCACGCTGACACGGGGATAACATGCAAACTCCTCTAAGAAGGGTTCCCCCACGCTAGAGATGAACTCTCCACCCCAGGTTCGACCCAGGAGCCATTCTACTGTGAGATGACAATGCTGACCACCGCACCACTGTGTGTCAATTTAAGGCAATTTTGTGTTTCTTTTAGGTAATTTTGTGCCCTTTTTGGTTGTTTAGTGTCTCTATGTAGTCATTTTTTGTCTTTTTTGTAGTATTTTTGTGTACACTATGAGGTAATGTGTCAATTTTAGTAATTTGTGTGTCTTTGTGGTCCTTTTAAGTGTCCTTGTGGTTGTTTTGTGTCTCTGTGAGGTAATTTTGTGTCTTTCTTCTGGTTATTTTGTGTCTCCTTACAGTTTCTTTGTATGTCTTTGTCATTTTCAGTCTCTTTTAACTTTGAACTTAAGTGATATTTTGTAGGTAAAGGCCAGGTGGGACCCCTGATACTTTGGGCCTCTGAACCTGTAGGCCCGCATTTTTATGTATTGTTATCCGTTAACAACGGACAACAACACATTAAACCTTTAAAAAGGCACACTTAACGTTATTTGATTACAATACATATATAAATGAGCGATGTGTGTCACAGTCAAGATGCTGCACACACTGACCATGGAAAAGCCCTCCGTTTCATTGTGAATATCTTCCCCCTATTTTCTGCAAACAGCAGTTAATTTGTCCTGTGGTATTGTAAATCATTTATCATCAACAAAAAGATATTAGAGGTGACCCTGCTTTGGTATTTGTAATTATTTATTGCCAAGCACAATCTGCCATGAGGTGGAGCTTATGTCTGATAACAGGGTTGATCAGTGACAGCTCATCAAATGTCAGCCCTGCTTTGATGATGCAGACACGTTCTCTCCTGATTCCTGCTCCTCCTGACCACACATATAGCCACATGCTGACTGCTGACTGCCTCTCCCTCCCCCAGAGTCCCTCCGAGGTGCCAGGGTGCTGGTGATGGGTGCCAGTACAGACAGCGGGGGAACAGTTGGCATACCATCACACCAGGCTGGGTGCCCAGATAGTAATAACAACGAGGAGGGAGTACATGCATTACACAAGGTCTATGCTCTTGAGAACGTGTCTGATGCAATTTGTCACCTGTTGTGCACTTCCTTTTACACATCCATCACTATTTTTCTAGCTTTTCTCTTTCTTTCATGAAACCATCTGTCTGGACTCTTGGCAACTGCTTTCATTGTTCAGACTCAATAAACATAAACTCATGTATCTTTGACTGTGAATCCATCTCGTCTCACAAGGTCAGTAATTCAGGCAAAACAGGATGAATAAAACACCATATGTGACTTGTTATGGCTGCAATGTGTGATTTTGTTCCCGTCCTGCAGATGGCAGAAGTGCTGGGGTCCAAAAGACTGGACAGCAACATGTTTGTTCCCTTTGATCCCTTTAATCATCTAACTACAAGGTGAGGAATCTCTGTTTGTATATCTGTATGAATACGCACATATATATATATATATACAGTACAGGCCAAAAGTTTGGACACACCTTCTCTTTCAATGCGTTGTCTTTATTTTCATGACTATTTACATTGTAGATTCTCACTGAAGGCATCAAAACTATGAATGAACACATGTGGAGTTATGTACTTAACAAAAAAAGGTGAAATAACTGAAAACATGTTTTATATTCTAGTTTCTTCAAAATAGCCACCCTTTGCTCTGATTACTGCTTTGCACACTCTTGGCATTCTCTCCATGAGCTTCAAGAGGTAGTCACCTGAAATGGTTTCCACTTCACAGGTGTGCCTTATCAGGGTTAATTAGTGGAATTTCTTGCTTTATCAATGGGGTTGGGACCATCAGTTGTGTTGTGCAGAAGTCAGGTTAATACACAGCCGACAGCCCTATTGGACAACTGTT